GTTGTGTTCTCCACAACTACTTGCAGAAATCTACTGGTAACAGCACACCAGTTCCAGATGAAAGAGATGGCCTTCAAGAATACCAAGCCATGGAAAATTTAACAAACATGGGCTGTAAAGCATCTGCTGATGCATATGCTGTTAGGGATAAGTTTAAAGTATACTTCTGCATGGGCGATGGAGAGGTTCCATGGCAATACACTACAGTCCAGAGAGGATTCGACCGTAGTATTTAACAGTGGCTTATAACAGGCTGTAACGATAAAAACATTAAACTGTTAAAGAAGTGTATAATATTATTGAACTGTAACTCTTTAATCAGTGATAATGAAACATATCAATGAAACACATTTTAAACATATCAATGAAACACTGTTTTTGTTACTCTTTAGTCGCATCAAATTTAATATCATACAGCACCTGCTGTATGCGAAGTTTTGCTAACCCCTTTTGTTGGTCTGTCATGCGTTTTAAGGTAGGAACAATGCTCAAGGCAAACACTTCCTCTTCAGACTTTCCAGTTTCAGGCCTCTTATTTTTTGCATCCAAATATTTTATAATTTGTTCTGAAACTTCATCCTGTGACTTTCGTCTCTTGCCAGCTGATTTAGGGGTGACACCCATAGGAGTGGTTGGTTGTGAAGTAGATGTTTTGGGTTCGTTTTCTTCTTCTAAAGGGAATAAAGCAGTATCCATTTCATCATGTTTGAATCATGTTTGAAGACGTACTGTAAATTTAGGTAAAATATTTTGTTGGCTAGTGCTAAATAATAAAAGATAGGAAAATGGGCACTTTACTTGGTGGTACAACAAAAAAAATTCTACAGTAAAATTTGCGGTTATTTACCTTGTAGTGTCAAAAAATGGCTCCAAAAAAGAGAAAATATTTTTGTATTTCCATTCTTTTTTTTACTTGCTCCATCCCCACTTCTTCCTTTATCACCCTTTTTAATTTTAACATAGGTATCGCGAAGGTTCTTCCACCGTTTTTTAAGACAGTTTACTGTCGGGAAAGAGATTAATTTGTGCAAAGTTAAATTTTTGACAAAAAAAATTATCGTGCATAATCAGGACACTTCAGTCGATCACTCACCATCAATATCTAGCTCTGTAGCAATGCTGGTCCAAATGTTTTCTTTAAGTTCTTTGTCTTTATAGTGTGAGCCCGTTTTGTCATACAATTCTTTATAATTTTGAACTAATGAAATTAGCCGCTCATCTATTGTTGGAGTCCCATATTTTCTTGGGTTGGCATATTTTTCTTGATTTTTTGCTTGTCTTTGATTGGTCGAAACAGCGCGAATTTTCTTGCAGCGCGAAAAAGATCGCTCTGCGGGCGAACTTTTTTGTATCGCTGAGCGAAAATTCGCCTCTTTGCGCCTGGTCTGAACGCTTCTTATCAAATACATTACATTGATTTTAATTTTGCCGCGCCGCGATAAAAAACCGTCGCATCACGATGCAAAAATCATCGCATTGCGTCCGGTGTGTGTGGGCCTTAAGAACTAATTAGTAATTAGTAATGTAGAACTAATTAGTAATAATTACCATTGTTCTGTTCGCTGTCGCCTTCTGGGGGACATTTGGCACTCCAAGGGGGACATTTGGCAAGATATTTAGAACTAAATATGTCGCACAAGGTTTTTCCCCAAATGAACACTTCTTCTGAATAAGCCTTTCTGTGATGGAAGAGAAAAGCTGACTATCTTCCCAGGCATTAACAAAATTTGCCTAAGCAGTTTGTTCATCTCCGATTGAGGTATTGGTCGCGCTTCATTGGTAATGTTGACCATGAACCTGTGGTCCAGTGTTGGCCTTTGTAATGGAGTTAGAGGGACAGTTGTCGATTTTATCTTCAAAGACAATCATCAACCACCTGACTTACCTATTGCAGTCATGGTCCAATTTGACAACTATAGGGGTCCTGCTTTCTGTCAGAACCAACCATTGTGTATTCCAATATGTCCTATCACTGCATCCTCACAGGCAGAAGGTGGCTTCCATGAGAGACAACAATTACCTCTCAGACTTGCTTGGGCTCTCACCATACTCAAGAGCCAAGGCCTAACACTTCCACAGCTGCTTGGATTGACATTGGGAAATCTGAGAGAACTTCTGGAGTCTCTTATGTTGCAATCGGTCGTGTGAAAATGTATTGTCATGTGTTATTGAACCCATGTCTTATGAAAGACCATCAAACTTGAAGTCCTCAGCGAACTTACAATACAGGCTTAATGAAGAATACAGGCTTAATGAAGAACACAGGCTAGACAACTTAGCACAGGTAACCTACAGTGCATATCCATCCAATCAAGCCAATTAATGTTGATATTGCTGTACCCTGCGAGCAGAGCCTTATTTACCTACCTACCTACCTTCTACCTTGTTGTTAGTAGTGGACATGGCGGGAGAGGTGGCAGGAGAGGTGTTGCGAGACGAGAAGAGAGAGGAGGAAAAATAAGGCTCTGCGGTATTCGTGTTTCATTTCGTCCATGATCTTGGACGACATAAACCAGTTTAACCAGTATTAAATGCGCGCAATTAACGTTTGATGGCTTATCGATGACAAATTGTGAGCCCACGAAATAGTTAAATATATACAAAATTCAACATGGCGGGAAACGCCAACGGTGCCAACGGAGATAGCTGCTTTAAAATGTGTTTATCAGCAGCTATCGAAGGCATATTTCCTGGGGAAAAAATGGACTTTTTGAGCAATGAACAAATTCAAGCCATTCAGTCCTCTTTTTTTTGGCAACAATACTTTCATATCATTGCCTACTGGCCATGGAAAATCCTTGATATTTCAACTGGTTGTGTCGATTGCGAAGAAAATGTTTGAACTAGGGAAACATGATTATACAAACTGTCATCAATCTCGTCCAGTTCCCGCTCATCCTGTAGTCCTAGTAATCGCTCCATTAAATTCTTTGATCGCGGATCAAATCGAGTCATGCAAAAAAAGGCAGATGACGGCATGTAAACTCGATGATTTGCCACTGTCAGACGACAACTGTCTGTGCGGAGTCACTGCTGGTCCAGCTGGAGCGAAGTTTGTAGAATACGACTTCATTTTCACTAGTCCAGAGACCCTGGAGCAAAAGTTGAACGTTTTATCAAGAATTGAAAATCAGTTACTTGGTGTTGTTGTTGATGAGTCGCACTGTGTTATTAACTGGTAACCATTTTAATGATTAATATAATTATATATTACTTCAACTTGATTTTTTATACTGAGTATTGTATCTCATTAATTCTTCATGGTCAAATTGAAATTCAAACTCTATTTTGTATTTAAGGGGAACTGCTCCTAATGGAAAGTCGCCATTTCGGTCATCGTATTCGCGTGTGGGAAACCTAAGAGCTCTTGTTAATGTACCAATCCTTTGTCTAACAGCAACAGCATCCAGTACCACCAGAAAGAGTATTATCAAGTGCCTTAACATGACCAACACCAAGGTTATCCAACTTTCACCAGATAAAGAAAATATGAAATATATTGTCAACAAAGCCCATGGTGAGGAAATTGAGGAAACATTATCTTGGTTGATAGCAGATTTACAACAATGTCTTGGTAATATGAAAAAAACTGTTATATTTTGTTGTTCAATAAAAGAATGTGGAGAAATTTACGAGGTATTCTTAAGCAACATGTCCCATGAACAACAAATGCATTTTGCTATGTATCATGCAAAAACTCCCCAACGCATCAAGGATTTAGTTTTGACAGACTTTCTTGAACCCAGTGGCATAATACGTTTGGTGATAGCTACAAGTGCATTAGGGATGGGGGTAAACATTCCAAATATTAGGAGAATTGTTAATTATGGTATTCCAAAAGACATGGAGTCATATGTACAAGGTGTTGGACGAGGAGGAAGAGATGGTAAAGATGTAATTGCAATAATGTACTACAAACCTTATCATCTTTGTCATGTTGACAAAGTTGTGAGGTCATTTGTGAAAAATCAATTAGAATGTAGGAGAAGTTGCATTTTGGATTTCTTTGGTGAGAACAATAAAAATAAAACATCTGCTCATTCACCTAAATGCTGTGACATTTGCACCAGATCATGCAACTGCGGTTCATGCCCCATAGAAGTTTTCAAATCCAAGTTATCTGCAAACTGCAAAAGGAAATCTCATGGTTTAACACGTCAGGTGACACCAGAAGAAAAAGATACATTTGTAGAAGTTCTACATGATTTGAATGTAGAAAATAAAAAATGTGGCTCTATTCTTGGCTCTAGTGTATTGGGTAACAAAATTGATGATACTGTAATTGAAGATATTGGTGAGGATTTAAAACATGTGTTCACCACAGACTATATTATGGACAATTTTCCAGTTTTTAATGAACAATTAGCTATCCAGATTTTAAGTGTCATACAAGACATATTTATGGATATTAATGAGGTCGACCTTGTTTATCTCGAACCTACAGAGCCAGATATTGATTTTTATTTTAATGTTCCTGTTCAGTGTTCTGACAGTGATGAATCTGAATGATTACAGTATATATATGTTTCAAATAAATTGTCATTCACTTTATATAATAAATTTTCGTTCACTTCTTGTAGTTGTACATTTTGTAAATATGCCGATTTTGTTGATGCCAACATTTCTTATACTTTTTTATCCACTCATGTAATGCTTTAACAGGCAGATTTTTTAAAAGTTCTTTCTTAAGTTGTGGAAAAGCACGATATTGTCTGCCAGGAGTAAACTTGAACACCTTGAAAATAGATATGTTAAATATAAGAATTAATCTTATAAAATATATCAGCTGTATGTTCATTCTAAATTTCTATGAGTTGTAATGTTGCCGAAAGTGAGGTTCAGGGTCACACTGGAAGCTATTGCAGATTGTCAAAAAGAAGTTACATTTTTTATTTTAATGCTTAACATTCTACCTTACATTTGCTTTGCTGTTGATCTGCTGAAGAATTGTCTCAGTCTTTCATTGATTTTCTGTTGCAGTGATGCCCTGATTTCCAGATTGCAGAGTGTGGCAATGGCGCACCCAAGTTCGAAATTCCAAAAAAATATTGCGCACTTGACATACTTTACCCGTATCGTGGGCGCGCTTCCAGTCCAGACTCCAGAGTGGCAAGAGTGCCCTGAAATCAAAATTTACTGCTGATCTGCCTTGGCAGCATTGCCATGTCAATTAGTCGTTTAGTATGGACTATGAACATGCAATGGTGCCAATGGAGTCATAGTTAATGCGAGTCATATTTCATGGTCAAAAAACGAAAGTACACAGTACCCTGTCATCTGTAGGATTTTAATCATTTTATTATGTTAGTATTATTAATCAATAATGATTGGTGAAAGATCACAAATATTCACAATAATATCAAAGTATGTTTTCCTCATTCTTATTAACTTCCTGTTAAGTGCTTTAGTTAATTAGTTTTATCTGCTCTGTCTTTTAGTCTTTGCTTATTATTCAGTTATTCTTTAACGAGAAATGAACATCTTGGTTTCTCTGCAGCATGCCTATCAATGACTTTGCTAACATTGTACTTGTTAGCTGTTCTTTCTCGCACATCGAAGAATCTAGGTAATCGATGCTTTCGGATACCAAGGTCTTTGTTTCCGGCAGTGTACAACATGCCAATTTTTGATATTGTAGATGGACATGCTATTGGATTGGGCAATGTCCAGTCTACAACTGCTCTTTCCATAAGAACTTTATTAGACTGAGGGCCAGATTTTGCGTGAGCTTTAATCATGCTATAAAAACCTTCAACAATAGCTTCACACCCTGAAGATGCCAACGCAATGTCCAACACTATACAAGCATCTTGTCCCAGTGTGTTGTAAATTTCCGCATTGTTATAAAACAGGGCGATGGTAGCTTGTTCATCAAGGTATGCATCAACTGATTTGCCAGATGTAAATTCTAGTTTGAACCATTTATCTAACGTGTTCTTCTCCACAACGGAAATGGTGGTAAGTTGGGAACGACTAAATTCATCAACAGGGTTTCCATCCACGCTGAGAAAGATATCAACTGCAGCACCTCCAAGATTTTCCCACACCAACTTCTTTAAAGTAGTTTTCAGTTGATTCGCCACGAGCTGACTGCTGTGGGTGAAGAGATTAGAGTTCATATCAATTCGGACGTGGTCTTTAACTTGCGGGAGAGAACAAACATGCTCAAAGAATAAGGAAAACTCTTCCATTCCCTTTCTTTCCCAGGAAATACGATCGTTGATGTCAATCACAATTGTATTTTGCTCCTCATCATAGTTGAAACGCGTAAGCCCACACAAAACTTCTTCCAAATCAAATGCTTCGAAAAGCGTGTGCAGTTCCACAGGAACAATTTTATTGTATCGTGACTCCAAACCTTCTCTTAACTCTGTGCACAGTTTGATGAGATCCTCAATGCATTCAGAAGGTGTTCTAGCGGTCCAGTTGTAAACTGTGGAACGTGTGGCAGTCCCTGATGCTGTTTGGTGCTCTATGGTTTCTTGTCCAGTAACTAACCACCCTTCAAGTAAGGGAGTTCCTTTAAAATGACAGTCCTGCGCTACTTCGTGAGAAAGTTCATCCCAGTGTTTGTTCATTCTAGGCAGATGATCTTTGTCAGGCTGGCCTCCTGTCAGGACTTCGTTGAGACTTGCTTCCATGAGATTCAGGCTTTTGATCACTTTGGCAAACCAACCAACAATTTTCCACGGGGGAACATTGACACCTTGGCAACGAATCATCAATGTGACTGCTGGTTTCAGCACATCTAGTGTTCCACATAGATCAATTGCATAATCTCTTCCCCGGACCTATGTTGAAAAATGCGAAACAGATGTATCAATTACAACATTTAAAATGGCATTAGCGTACGTTTTAATTTATAAAAATATTTATTGAAACAAATATCAACCTGGTATTTTGTTTCTTCGTCTTCATCTTGCGAATTTTCCCTGTTTTGAACAAACGCGCTAACAAGTGCTTCATAGCTTTCATATATTTTCTCCCATTGTTCGTAAGACGAGCTAGTAAATCGAGTAGTTGCAAAAGTTACTGTATCTAAAGCTTTCAAGCCTAAAGATGAAGCAAGTCCCTTGTATTCAACATGCCCTTTACCGCTCCCAAACATGGAGTGGAATCGGTTTGATCGCTTGATCAACCTCTTCAAAAAGGATGATGAAGATGCCTCTTCACGGAGAAAAACCATGACCAAGTCCATCCAGTGACTAGGATCCCACGAAAGCAAAAAGTAAGGGTCAACAGGGGAATCAACTTCTCCAATAAGGCGATAAAGATTATCCTGAAACTTTCCGGTATGATATTGGCCATCAGCATGAAGGGCTATACAATTCATAAAAATGTAGTATAGTTGGTTAAACACTTAAATGACTATGAGACCCTTCTTAGAAAATTTTACCTCTTAGAAATCGTAACTGCTTCTGATTGATTTTTAGTTTTTCGGAAATCACATTCACAACTTGTTTAGCTAATTCGTCATGATCACCTCCTTGCACAGTTCTTGTGTCCTCTGAGATGGAATACACAATAGGGGCATCAACAGGCACAGCGACGCGTATTCCATCCGAAGGTAAAATTAATATTACTGCTTGATTAGTATCCCTATGGGGAGTTGACTTATCTATAGCAATACTAAAGTGAGGAGGTAACCCAGTAGATGGAAGTGGGTTTTTAAGGTAGGCTGCAGTCTCTTGAATGATAAAACTGTAGGCAGCATGAATAATTTCAGGGAACTGATTTCTAAATGAAAGTTAACATGGGTTTAATGATAAATAAAAAAAGCTGCATGTTTTTTAAACTCTCAAGGCACATGGAGTACATACCTGCCATGTCCAATATCCCCAATATCAGCACCACAGAATGACAGAAGAGCTATTGATTTCTCAAATGATGATGCAGCAGCTTTCATTTTACATACTGAAATGGCAGCAGCAATAAGATTACTGTTGACTTCAACACATTTGGCATGTCTTTTTCTTTCTTTTGCAGCATATTGCTTTGCTTTCAGGTGATACTGACCAGAACTTCTTGTTGGATGACAGATAATGTGTTCAACTAATGAGGTTTTAAAGTTGTACCAGTCTTGGCATGAGCCAATTATCAGCTTCTCCATTTTCTCTTTACCATAAACCATACCCATAGACCAGGAATTGTTTAGAGGCCTAAAGTGATGAAATTCTTATTTGCATGCTGCTTGTGATTAACTGAATTTAATGATATTAAAGCAATAGCAATTAGCAATACAGTACTATAATTTTTCAACAAATTAAATAAATGGAAATTTTTACTTACAAATTTCCAGCCCTGGACAAAGCATATTCATGACATGGTACACATGTTACGCGGCACCCATTATCACTTCTCTCAATCTTCACATCCTCATGAGAAATCTCCAAAAGATTGCTTGCAGATTTTATTATTGTAACATCAGGTGATGAAAACTGATCTAAGCTTTCTTTCAGTGGGTTGTCCTTCAGAGTGATGTTTTCAACTTTCATCAAGATTTCATTTATGCCACATTGTATTCCTTCCAATGTGATTTCTGGTATTTTGGGGGTGACAGCAAACGAAGACAATGTAGATTGAACTGAAGGTTTGTTTTTAGAACTTTGCTCAGCTTCCAATGTAGAAGACAAGTTGTCTATTAGTATGAGATCATTTGCCTGAGTAGTATCCTTTTCTTTTAGTCTCAGTGGTCTGGATGACTGCTTTTCACTAAATTCAGAAAATTCTGAAGACTCACTTTCCTCTCCATCTGAGTGATCTGACTCAGTATCACTTTTCTCGTTTGAATTTGAACTGGATGCGGAGATTGATGATGCAGTTGCTTTACTTCTCAACAGTGCTTGTGCCCTTTTATTGCTTATTGGAACAATCATGCTTCTATATAGATTTGATTGATCTTCCTTGTGAGCTTGCTTCCAGTGTCGTTGCTTATATGAATTTGTACCACGTGCAAGCACTTTGCCAGTGTTACACTTTAGGCATACATGTGGATCTTTCTCATCTCTCACCCTCTTTTTTCTACTGTTTGAGCTACATTCGCTTGAGGAAGGTCTCTTCAGGAAAGACCAACCCTATTTATAATTGAAGTACATAAAAATAACATTCTAGTGATTTTACAAGATCTTACCATAAGATCTTACATTCTATTCCTAATTCTTAAACAATTTAATAAAAATTCAATCATGAATCTGATTCACAAATTAATTTCAAGCAATGAAACAAAACGGTCAAAACCTATAACAAGTTCATAAATAAATCATGCATATTCAAAATTCAAATATTACTGATTAGTGATAACTCGTCATTATCATTAACATATATCTGCATAATATTGATAATAGATGCATATAATTCAATTTCTCTTAATACTTAAAATTATACAAATTAGTGAAATTATCTTACCTCCGCCATTTCAATTTTCAAAGTGATATCCCAACAATCCCAACAGAACAGAGAAAAAGCACGACCTAGTGGCAATCAATGGTGGCAAACATATGCGCTGGCCGCTCGCGTAAACATGTGCACTTGGGCTGGGCCGGTTGGCGCACCTGAGAAATTTTGGGAGTTTTGTCGCACCTGCACTTCAGGTGCGACCCTATTGCGCACCCAAGATCTTGTTGAAATCGGCCATACTCTGCAATCTGGCCTGATTTTTCTTTTGCCTCAAGTTCAGCTTTGGATGCATTAATCATTTTCTCTACAGTGGTGTAACTTTTGTTGCCTTTACTACACTATCATCATTTATGTTTGGGAATCCTAAGGCCCTTATTTCTTCTTTGGCAATTTTATTCAGTTGCTCAACTCTAAGATCTCTTGAAATTCTTTTACCAGGTCCAGTCTTGATACCAGCAAATCTGTTCCAAGTCAGTCGATGTGCCTCACGAGGTGTTAAAAGTCCATTGACGGATGCAATAAGCCTCAGACCCGCAAGTGCATATTTAAAACAACCAGTCAGTCTAAAAATGTATGTAAGAAACTTCCACACTCTCAGAAGTCGCTCACCATCCCCTTCTTGCACTGAATCTTCTGCATCTCTAATCAAAAGGCCAAGGGTGATGTTAAGACAGCCATAATTGTAAATATGATCATCTTCATCTTTTGGTGGACCTTCTTGTTTACTTTCTTTCTGGCTGGTTGATAAATCCTCATGTATTAGATGGTGTTTCATCTTCTCATGGTTAATTCTGCATTTGGTGTACTTAAACACTCTGGGACATTCTTCAAACCGACATGGAAATGATGCTGGTGGGGAAGTGCTTGCTTCACCAATGTCTGATACACTGTCAGCCACATAACGATCAAATAGTTGGGCAGCCTGGCCAAACAACCATTTTCTCTTGTCTTCTGTACTACTTGTGTTACATAGTCCACTTGGAAAGCAATTCTTTGTTGGTCTGCTTGTTGTTGTTTCCATTCCAAAGTGATCCATGGCAGCCGACACCAAAAACGCATCAGTTTGAATGGAAAAAAACTCTTTGATCTGGTTGTAGCTGTCAGATTCTACATCTTTTAGAGCATTTGAGTTACCAACAATAATGGCATTTGAAGTATATGTACCCCAGTCCGCTACAGAATTCTCTTTACGTAGAATCTTCATAGCAGCCTATATTGGTATTTAGTAATAAATGTTTGTGTTACAAATATCACGCTACAATATACCGATACAGACTATCAGGGATGATCTTAAATGAAGTATTGTAGTTTAATTGGTAGTAAACTGAATATTCCTAAGCTTGTCGATTTCGTATTTACATACTTGTCGATTTCAAAGTCGGTTACTCTGTTGTTTCACGAAACATTGCATTGACAGTTTGTTTTCTTAATAATCTGATCGATTAGCATTATAGCCAAATGCGACGTGAAAGACGAACCTTATATGCTGTTCTTATGGCATGCCAATCTTCGTTCTTCGGCCACGTTGCATCGAGACGCTCTGTTGTCGTTTGGCCGTCAGCCCTTGATTTTTGGACGTTTCGAGCTCGCTCCTCTGTCAGCTGATCACCGCCAAAAAACATTGCCTCCGTTGGAATTTCCTGAGGACCATTACCTTGGCTAACTTCGTGAAAGGGAACATATTTATCTTGGATTACTTCGAGAATGTCAACCATGTCTTCGTTTTTGCTCTCATTCTTTGGAATGACACCAAGGGGTATCTATAGTTATAGTGAAAACTTTTTTGTATGAAATTTTACTGCTAGCTGGGTTATCACTAGGCCTAATATCAGATAGGATTAGTGCAATGATGGAGTTAAGAGCCTATATAAGCGGTTGAAAATGCTGGTGTTGAACCAGTGTTGAACAAATATTAACTTTTTTTGAAGGGGCTCAGATGGGGCTTATAAGCGCTAAAGCGAGATTGCAGAATGGACAAAATATTACTTTTTCAGTGTAATCAGTATTGTTGTACACAATTAAAATAGATATTGGTATATATCAAATCGATGTATTTCTGTAATATCGCACCAACTCTGCTTAAGCTCCTTCTGGTTCCTATATTTAGGACAGCTACAGTACTACAAGTAAATATAATTGGCATAACTATAGTAGTATAATTTATGGTGTAAACATGAAAAAAATAACTCGATTTATTTTACCACCTCATTAACTGGTGTCGCCATGATTTCACTGTACTGATGAGGAATGTGCTTGATAATAGCACTGCGCAAGAAGGAAAATTGACTAAGATACTTGACAATGACTCTTGACCACAGTACAGTATAATCTTGCTTCAATTTCTTGATATCACTGTCAGATGGTATGAATGATGACAAAGGAGTATCAGCTAATGTGACTTCATATTCATTTGATAGCATCTTCCCAGAAACCTGATCTTTAAAGGCAACCAAGTTAAACCAGTGAAATGACTTGTTTTTATTAGCTTGGGACATATGTCGAACCTTGACTTCCAAATCCACGTTGTCTCCAACAATCTGATATGTGATAGGCGATATTGGTTGGCGATGATCATATTGCTTGACTACATCAAGTAAATCTCTATCATCAGAACATCCCAGCTGCACCAATTTACTGAAAACATTTAAAATGACTTTTTTCTGCACTCCTTGTTTTATTAAACTATCACATATGTTCTTGATAATTGTCATAGAATCTTGGAAAGAAAAGTACAGCCCACTCATCTCAATTGTCTGGAACTCATCATTGTTGAACGTATTACCCTGGCTGTTTTTCTGTGCATAACTCATGTAATTCTTCATGTCACCAACAGTTGGAGCATGGGGAAGGTAATTACATGAAATAAGTTCATTTTTGATCATAACTAAGCATGTCTCGTCTTGCTTTGCATCTTCACATGTCACCTTCCATTCTTGAACTTGTTGTTCACAAAATTCACCAAGCTGAGTGGCTTTCTTTCTAAGTGTGATTGGTGCAACGGTCAATCCATGTTGGTACAGTGTGTCTAAACCCTAAGGTACAAATAAAAAGTTTGTAACTGGTATGTACATAAGAAAGTTATAAATATGTATCCCTATAATATATATATTACAGACAGCAACCTACCATGGTTCCACCCCAGAGTGCCTGAGAATAAAGCAGAGTCTGTATGCCATTGCAGACATTTCAGGACATCGGCTGCGAAGAATAATGGCAGCAACAGTTGACGTCACAATCTCTTGTTTCAGGGAATTGTTTTTACTGGCTCGTTTTGATGTACACAGGGTTTCAAGGGTGCTGGTTGTTAGTGGTGCTTTTGTTTTCAGGTCAGCACTTAATTTTTGCATGTTAAAATCTAATGGTGAGGCTCTGAGTATGCTATGACTGTTCACTTTACAAATGCTTTGACATTCATTGTCCATTCTATCTACAACCAACTTTTGTAGATGAACTCCCAGCTCTGGATGTTCCAGGATCTGCTTTAAAGCGCTCTTATGGGAACCAACAGAAAATGCCTTTATGATGTCTGCAATGTCATTTTGTACCGTTTTTGTTTGACTTCCAGATGGATAATGTAAGGTTACCTGATAACAAAACACGGTTAATAGTATAATGATTTTGTTATTGCACTATATACTTGATGGCTAAACGCTCTAGTATGACAGCACTATAATATTAATTGTACAATACACACCTCAACAGATAATTTGTTCTGACTTGGGCATTGCGATGTCAACGTGTGACTCTGAACAAAATCGGTTTGCGGTTTGTTTTCTTTTTCATTAACAACGCTCCAGTCCAAAACAGCGACATCGATATTTCCAAAGGACAATTGTACGTTACAAGGCCGTTTTTGTTGGCGAGAAGGAATTTTTTAGCGACCCTTTTAAAGTATGATTTACTTGATGCCTTACTTGAGTCTTGCCCTTCATTGCAATTTTTAAAATCGTCTAGGACTATCGTGCTTTGAAATCTTCTTCGAAACTCTTGCAAATCCAGGCGCAAAACTTTCGATTTCGTATGCAAAGAATCGATTCGCCGATAGCAAGACTTGCACACCCTTGTGGAACATATATTCAGATCTATTCGAGAGGTTTTAGTAAGTTCTTCTAATTTCTCCAAAAGACCTTTGTAAGTACACAAATTAAAAGTACTCTTCGCGCCGATTAAACAAACACTACAGCAGAGACAAAAGGAATCTTTTTCCTCTAGTTTTCGCCTTCCTTGCTTCGTAGGAGTATTAGGAGAACCAGGTACCGGTCTCTGGCGCAAAGGAACTCTCTTTGGAGTGCTAGGGAGCAATATACTTCTTTTCATTTCGGCTTCGCTGGTACAACAGAAAGTATGTCGGCATATCGAATAATAAAAAAATTGCACGGGAATATTTAATTAAATCAGTGGCTGCGTAATGGTTACTAAGCAACAGACTGAGCATGCTCAATAAAAAACGAAACACAAATACCGCAGAGCCTTATTTTTCCTCCTCTCTCTTCTCGTCTCGCAACACCTCTCCCGCCACCTCTCCCGCCATGTCCACCACTAACAACAAGGTAGAAGGTAGGTAGGTAGGTAAATAAGGCTCTGCTCGCAGGGTAATATTGCTGACAAAGGTACTTAATATTGGACCTCTGAAATACATGCACTGTGTTGTGCAATGCATACATTCATAATACCACTGTCAATTATCATTTTACACTGTCCATGTTATAATATTGCCTCTCTCTTGTTTTACTAACTACTATATACCTCTAATTGGAATCAATAGTAATCTATTTCACAACCCTCGCCTCTCGCTCAGCTGAAATAAGTTATAGCAATAAATATTGGTCAGCGTTACCTAGCCTAACCGTTAAGCAAGCTGAACAGCTTGGCTGAGGTGGAGAAGCCTGAGCACCACCGACGCGAATAAAGGGTGGGATTTGGGTGGTCCGGCTTCTGGTTTATGATACGTCTGACCGAGGAACTGAGCAAGAAGCCGGTATTTGGGTGTGTACCACTTTTATATCTGTTCCAGGTATGCCTGGCATTCATACATATTCAAATATTCGCATTTCCTAACTTTCTGGATCTTATTTCCGCTTTGCATCTCATTATGAGTGTTGTGAATAGTAATCTATTTCACAACCCTCGCCTCTCGCTCAGCTGAAATATGTTATGGCAATAAATATTGGTCAGCGCCCATCAGACTATCTGCACTTTATTTGTCGTATCCTCTATGCATGCATACCCCCCATCATTTGTCCCT